TCGTCGTCGTCGTCGTCGTCGTATGTAATAGTAACAGCACTAGTAATCGTAATAGTATTCTTTGTTATGGTAACTCTGGTGAGTATGAGCATCAGTAGAGGAATTTGTATCAGTAAAAATAATGCGAAAGACTAGGCAGACTAGTAAGTAATAGCAAAAGCAAGATCAATCCGAATCAATAAAAGTAATTAGCTATACAACTCACTATTGAGAAGCCCCCTTGGTCCTTTCGTATGGTTCTGCACGGGATACAAACAAGCCGCAACACCCGTCCACCTCTTGCCTGGCGCCTGCAGACCACTAAGAAACAACCGCTTCGGTATGAATAGCAGGCATGAGGGCCTCCTACACCCCAGCAGGCTCTTGACATGGACTTGGTGCCACAGGTGAACTTTCAGAAAACAAAGTTAGTGAAAGTTAAACAGGGACCCGGAGTACGGCACAAATTTCACGTAGCAACCGCCTTTATGATGGTAAGGTTGGTACAAAAAAATCCTGTATGACCTCAGTATCTAATTACAAGAATACCATACTTGCCAAGGGTCGGCGTGTTTCTTAGGGTCATGCAGTAGTTTAATGCCAGGCATGACGGCAAGTCCATTAGGATCCCCATACGTGCATTTCCAAAAACCCTAAATCTTAAACGCTAAAACCCTTAAACTCTAAAACCCTGAAAACCCTACAGACCTTTACAAAACACTAAAAACCCTTAAGCAAGCTAAAAACCCTAGAGCGCTAGGAACCCTAAAGCCCCAAATCCCCTAGACCCTAAAACCCTTCAGAACCTCCTCATTCGCAGGTGTTTCGCACAGAGGCACAGACTGACAAGGCTTGGGATGCCACGCACAGACTAGGGCTGGGTTAAGGGGTCTAGGAATTTTAGGGTTTAGGGCTCAGAGACCGTTTAGGGTTCAAAGTACAGGGTTTAGGGTTTGGGTTCAGGGGTCTCTTCGCACCTGAAGCTGCACAGCCCTAAATCCTAAAACTGTCATTCCAGGACCTTTTTGTTGGGACCGGCTGCGGCCTGAATGCTACTAGCCGTCGCATGGGAATTTGCTAGTCTGGGTTGCTGTTAAGGA